TATCCCAAAAAGAAGGGAAATCAGATTGCAAACATTAGAAACTCAATGACTCAAGCACTTTGTTAGCATGCTTTCATCTTAACTTTGGTAATCATCAGTAAACTTGGCAGCAAAGTCCCCATCTGAAATGGGGGTACGTGATCCTGCTGTAGTTCATTCAGGGGGTACAATTATCACTAATCTCATCCTTCAGCACCACAGCTCCCAAGTCCCCTGAGTCACATTGCAACAATCATCACTGTAAGGTTCCAACAGCTTGAAAGAGATTTTGGTGATTAGTGGTGTAGGAAGCTCAGTCCAAGCATCAAACTCATCCCTGGTGGAGAACACATGTTGTACAAATGTTTCTTGCACTTTTGAGTCTGCTTAGCAATGTAAGGAGGGAAAAAACCCAGTAAATCCATCACACACACACACACACAAAAGGATGTTTTATACCCAAAACAGAAGAATGGAGCCCATCTCCCCAGCTCCCAGCAGGACATCCTGCTCCCTGCCCTGCCCCGTCTGGCACCTGGGGAACCTGGCACTGTGTGTCCTGCTTCCAGCCCAGCCCAGAGCCCCCGAGGCAGATCCTCAAGGCAGATGCCCACCCTGCCAGCCAGGATTCTATCGTCCACCCCAGAGCCCACCCCAGAGCCCACCCTGCCAGCCAGGATTCCATCAGTCCTGCTGCTGCTCCTGCCCCAGCTCACCCCAGGGCCAGGGCAGCACGGCTGGGGAAGGCACCACCACCCAGCAGAGGAAGTTAAACACAAGGCACATTTTGTGTTTTTCAGAACACATTTTGTGTTTTTCACAGAAACATGCAGTTGTGATCTCCAAAGTGCACCTATTTTATTCTTCTACAGAAAGTGCTTTTGGAATATCTGCAGAGAGTTCTCTTTCAAGCTGCCTCTCTGGACCAGAGTGGATACAATACATGTCCCCTGCACTGCTGAAATTGGGGTAACTGTAGGAACACTACAGAAACAAAGAATTAGATGAACATACCCACAAATGAGAAAGTGGGAAGGGACACCTGCTATAAATACTGACCTGTACCTTTTGCAATACCTGATCCAGAGGAAAGAACAGCCAACTTCGACTTCAGAGTCGTTTTCACCCAGAAGTCCATTTACAGCCATCCTCAAAAGCAACATAAAACATCCCCTTTTGCCCCAGTGTAACAAATTAATGTGATTGTATCAAAGGCAAAAACTGTAACAATATTTTGATCCTTCTGTCCAGTCTCATTGCTGCAGCACTTTTTCACAATCATTATTGGTCTGTCAAGCAGAGGAGAAGCACCTGAGATCTGTCTGTACCTGGACATCAAAATCTATTAACTAAGCACTTTATTTTATAATGTTCACTTACAGAACTTTGTAGAAATAAATGGGGGTTGAATCCTTGAAGCTGAAGCTACAGGTCAGGCACAATTTTCCTAAAAATCTCTCTGTCAAGGACTACAAAACAAAGCTATGGCTGCTTGATCAGTCTGCTCTTCACCCAAATCTCCAAAAGACCCAAGACTGCCAAAATGAAAAACAGAGTCAATACAGAACAGCTGCTTTTAATATTTTAAGATTTACTTGGATGACTTGCAATGGTTAACTGGCTTTTAATTTTCCAGTGGTTTAGGTAGGACTGGGACTTGCTGGATAGTGCAGATTAAGGATCTGAGTTCTTGCTTTATGCACAATATGCACCTCTGGCACGGACAGCAGCAAAGCAGCCCCGGTGCTGGCTGGAGCAGCTGTGCCCTTCAGAAATTTAAAACAGCCTCAGAGAAAAAGCAATGGCTGTTCTGGAGCTTTCTGCAGGAACATCGCTGCTCATCATCAGTGGCCAGGTTTTGCTGGGGGCTCCTTCAGCACCACAAGGACCGTCCCATAAGGAATGCTCCAGAACTGAGGTCACTGAGGTGAGATCATCTGTGGAAAGGGAGGAATTCTGATTCCAGCCCCAGTGAAGTCAGATCACACGCACACACACACACGTGCTGACTCTTCCTTGAGAAACACAGCAGGATTTTTGATGATAGACTAACAAACTCTACACAAATTAGAACACAAAATCAAAAAGAAAGCCCAAAACCCCAACACATGCAGCCCAGCAACACACTTGCACTCCATTTCTCATCACTACAGCTCGCTTGAATATCTTTTGCTTTTGGCACTGAAAGTTTGCTCTCAAATCCCTCTCATCTGCTGCGCACACGGTTACCAGAGACTGTAACACAAAGTTCTACACTTTGGGCAGATGCTGGATTCCTGCAAAAAGGGGGCTCCCAAACACTTGCAGCAATGTGACTGGAAGGAGAGTCTTTGACACACACATTTTGCACGAGGCTGTAAACACTGCAGGAACAGGCTGTAAGCTGTGAATACCAATATTTAAAACCATGTCCCCTTGGAGCTGAGCTCACACACGTTTGCTCCTGGAGCAGGTCTCAGATCTCAGGACATGCCCAGGGTACGGTGAGGGCTGGCTCAGCAGTGTACAGAGCTGGCCAGGCACAGAGCTCAGCTGGGCTCCGTTCCCCTCCTGGGAGCCATCCACGCTCTCCGTGCACCTGTGCCACTCCTCTCAGCACAAAATTCTCAAAGAACATGCGAGTTTCTGCATTTTGTCACTCCTGGAGGAAATCTGACCCCGAACAACACCTGCACACAATGAGTACCCAAGTGAGGAAGTCATAAAGAGCCAGCTGCCCTTTATTTAAAATGCCCTTTGCAAACAGCTCGCCGTACATTCTTTCGAGAGAAGCAGAACCAGCAGGAGCCCAGAGGCACAGAGTTCCACACCAGCTCCAGCACCATGAGATCAGTGAATCCTGAGCATCCTTCGAGCAGAGGCACACTCGCCCTGGGGCTGGGGCTGAGCGCAGGGCAGGTTACAGTCACGGACACGGCATGCCACACACGCTTCCTCCCACAGAACAAGCTCAGAGTTTTAAAAATACAATCATTATGTACAGCAAAGTATGTGGTCACAAGACCAGCCTTAAACCGAGGCCTTGTTTACACAATTTCTGCGATGTCAGGAAGTATTTTGGCTGGGAATGTAATTTTTCTTCCAAAACAAGTAAATATTTGCAATTCTCACTGTGAAAAGAGTGATAAACCACCTCTGTATTGACACGGGTGTAACATATTCCCACAGGGAAAAGGAATAAAGAGTACCTTTATATTGATACAACATTTCCCTCAAGTGTCGAAGCTAATATAGCTTTCATCACTCAGTCAAGTTAAAGCAGGATGATTTTTTTCAGACTTTTTATAGACAAGGCCTATGTTTAACAAGCACCAAAACACTTCAGAGTATTTGGAAGATCAGACTATTGAGCTCTATGCTGTGTACTGTCCTCACCAGTCACAGAGAACACGGAATGCCTAAACACATTCAAAACCCTGATCAAACAGTGCCACGGCTGCTTAAACACTTCACCGTTTTACAAATGCACCTTTTTGGCCAAAACCAGAATGTACCACACGAAGGCCCAGCACAACACAGAGCTCAGCTGGCTGCCCCCAGCTGCTCTGCCAGGCTGAGCAAAGCCAGACTTTGTGTGCTAAAACACTCACTTTTGCTTTATTCCTCAAGCACAGCTCAGGCAGTGGGGAAAGAGGCGCTGGGGAACGTGAGGGATCTGCTGGCTCCTGGGAGGGCACAATAAATACCTGCTTTTATCAGCCACATCAAGCTGCTGACAATGCACTGATCGAGGCCTGGCGGGTGCTAAAGACTCTACATTCCCATTGAATTTAAGGCAAAATTGAACCATGGCACTAACTGAGATGTAAATTGATTTTTTTAACATCAGACACGCAGTTTGTAAGGTGCAAATGTGGCAGCAGTCAAGCTTCCTTAGCTTTCAGTGCAGTACTTGGGTTAAAAGAAACCCCCTCTGTCATTCCCGTCTTCCAGCACGGGATCCTCTGGCTTCCAATGAACTTTTAGGAATTCCTGGAAGATGAGCTGCAATGAGGTTTCCAAGTTTAAAGAGGGGTAAATGATGTGTTTACCCCAGGGCCCAGCACCGGGGTTGCCTCCTCCAGCCCTCTGCTCCCCACTGAGACTGACACAGCCCCAGAGAGGGCCTGGCCGCAAGGACACGCCTGGGCCCTGCAGCACAACACGCTTTCACCGTACAATCTTTTACACATTTTGGTCGTTGCTTGATGCGGCTACAAAAATGATCCAGTTGTGACTAAAGCACAAATGGCACTTTTCGTTTCAGTCAGCGGGATTTCAGTACGCAGCATCAAACTGACACTGCACACTGCTCTGCCGGTGCTAGGGCACAAAGTTCTCCTGCTTAAACCAGGAGAAATTGCCAGAATCGCAGAGGAATCACGGCAGTCACTTTTCAGTTGGCCTGATTAAAAACCCCTTTACACATCATTGCTCAGCCTCTGTTTTTGAGATGTAAGATAATTTCAAGACTCCTTGGGACAGGGGGGAGAAGGAAAAATAGAAATGCAGGTTTTGTGTGCAGACCTTTAAAAAAGGGGCAAAGAGAGGAGAGAACAGGTAAAGAAGCTCCTTGGACCTTCCAGCTTTCGGGAGGCACAGGTCTCCTCCCACCCCAGCCCCTCTGCAAACCAGAAAACAAAAAGGTCTGGTTTATAATTTTAAAGTGATAATGCAATGAGACTAAAAGTCTGAATTTCATAAATAACTGACCTTTAGAACTTCACCCCTATAAACCACGCTGCCTCCAGGAGGGAAAAGGGCCTAATCCCACAGGGCCAGTGGCAGTAAGCCCACACTGCCTCCTCAAAGCACAGCCCTCTTCCCACAGCCTGGCAGCACACTGGGCCGGGAGTGAACACAAGCAAAAACCTGCATCAAAAATGACTAAATATTAGGTAAAACAGCAATCTTGTGGTTTGCCTTTTTTTCACCACTGTTCTTAGCTAAATCGACCCCTCGCACTGCTGCTGAGATATAAATCTGGATTAAGAGCCTGTGTGAAAGTCAGTGTTTCATGTGATACATAACAATGCACAAAGTTGTTTTCTAAAAAACAGCATTTGTATTAAAATTCTTCAAATGGATAGACATTTCTTCAATGCATGTCTGCACTTAAAATGACAGTTGTTAGAATGTTCTTGGTACATCACAACGATAAGGTTTCCTTCTTTGCTGGCTGGAGGCACATCCCACGACAAAATCAAAGGAAAATAGAACCAAAAAAATTTAAAAAAAAAGCCCCCCACCCAAAAATCCCAAAAGGGTAAATTCTTGTAAATTTGAAGTAAATTAGGCCCAAACTTGCAAGACATAGAAATAACAGTTAAAAGGCTCAGATGGAAATAAGAAATAAATTCCACTAACAATAGGCCCTTTTGTCCTGGCTTGCTCGGTGTGATTACTGCAAGGAAACTGTTAAGTAGTTTTTGGAGTAGTAGATAATGGGATTCTGTGGAGCTTTCACAGGTTGGCACCGGCTGGAACAGCTGAGTTTTGAAGGCACTCTACAGACACAGGGCTGCTGTTGGCCCTGCATCACTCAGGGGAAGTCTTTGCACTTGAGAGAGCGAGTCATCAAAATCAGGTATTGCCAACCCAAATCCAAAACCCCTCGGCAAAAAAAGCACCACCGCCCTCCCCCCCGCCAAAGGAAAAACCAAAACCACAACGAAATCACACACACACGCACACCTAAAAAATTGTGCAGATTTGTAACATTTTCACAGCTGATTAAAAAAGAAAACAAAAACAAACAAATAAAACCAGGAGAAAAACCACCACGCTACCACTCTCCTGCAAACTCCCATCCGATACAGCAGGTAAACAAAATAGAGCATTATTCCAGGGATATCGGCGGCGCTGCCCGGCGCCCCGAGCCTGGCAGCACCGATCGGGTCACAGTCCCAGTTCCATGTGCAACTCTCCGGGCGGGACGGCCCCGCACCGCTCCCGCTTGCATAGAGACGGCGGCAGCGGCGCCGGGACGGGCCCGCACCCGGGGTACGGCCCCGGTGTCCCGGGGGTACGGGCCCGGTGTCCCGGGGTACGGCCCCGCTGTCCCGGGGTGCGGCTCCGCTGTCCCGGGAGTGCGGGCCCGGCGTCCCGGGGTGCGGCTCCGCTGTCCCGGGGTGCGGCCCCGCTGTCCCGGGGCTGGCCGGGCCGCGGGCCCCGCTCCCCGCCGGGCTCCCCGCGGCTGTCCCGGGACAGCGGGCTCCCCGCGTGGCTCCGCTCCCCGGGCGGCGGGACCGGCTGCTCCCGCGCCCGCCGCCGACACTGACAGGAAATATGCCATGACCAAGACTGGACGAAACGTACATGCCGAGAAAAGCCACATTTCCAACACGACGAATTTTTTTCGCGATGTTTTCTCCCCGAGCGCGCCCGCCGGGGCCGGGGCCGCCGCCGCCCTCAGAGGATGGCGCAGGAGGCGCAGCACGGCTCGTCCCCGTTGGGCTGCGCCGCGTAGTTCATCTGCCTGACGATCTCGGCGAACAGCTCGTCCACAGAGGCTTTGTTTTTGGCCGAGGTCTCCATGAAGGGGCAGCTCCACTCCTCGGCCAGCGCTTTGCCCTCCCCGAAGGAGACCTCGCGCTCGCCCTCCAGGTCCACCTTGTTGCCCACCAGGATCATGGGCACCCGCTCGTACCTCTTGACGCGGATGATCTGGTCCCGCATGGGCTTGATGTCCTGGAAGCTCTGCTGGTTCACCAGGCTGTACACCAGGATGAAGCCCTGCCCGTTCTTGATGTAGAGGTCCCGCATGGAGGCGAACTGCTCGGTGCCCGCCGTGTCCAGGATCTCCAGCACGGACGGGGACGAGTCCACCTCGATCTCCTTGCGGTAGAAGTCCTCGATGGTGGGGTCATACTTCTCGATGAAGGAGCCGGTCACGAACTGCACGGTAAGGGCGGACTTGCCCACGCCGCCCGAGCCCAGCACCACCACCTTGTACTCCCGCATGGCTCCCGCCTCCCTCCGCCGCCTCCCGCTCGGGGCTGCCGCGGCGGGCGGGGACGGGGCGGAGGGAGGGAGGGGACGAGGGCGGCCCCGCGCCGGGGCGGGGAAGCGGCGGCCGCGCCTTGCGGAGCGGCGCCGGGAGAGCCCCGGCGCCGGGCAGCGCCGAGGAGGAGGAGAAGGAGGAAGGGGCTGAGGAGGACAAGGAGGGAGGGAGAGAGGGCGGCAGCGCTGCCGCTACCGGCCCCGGCCCCGGCGCGGCGGGGCGGGACAGCGCTGCCGCGGCCCATGGCGGCCCGCCCCCGGGATCGGGAACGGGATCGGGAACGGGGACGGGATCGGGATCGCCGCGCGTCCCCTCCCGCCCGGGGCCCTCCGCGCCGGGATGGGGATGGGGATGGGGATGGGGATGGGGATGGGCGCGGGAGGGCGCGCCGGGCGGTGGGACCGGCAGCCCCCTGCCCCACCCCGGTGCCGCCGCCCCGCGCCCCCGCCCGCTGTCGGCGCTGTCTCGCTGCTCCCGCGCTATCGCCGCGTGCAGCCGGGGCCGGGCCGGGCTGGGCCGGGCCCGTGTCCGGGTTCCCCCGCGCTGCGGAGCCGGGACCGGCTGGTGGCCCAGGCGGGAGCTGCGGCCGCTGCCGGGTGCCGGTGCTGCTTCGCTTGTGGCCTGGCAGGGCTGAGTCACAGGGGCTGGCTTCGTGCCACTCTTTGTGGAAGTCGTCCCTTGGACTTTCTATTAGACGTTCCTTTCGAGAAAGGGTCATTAGTTGTTTTGGCACCTCCGGTCCTTGCTGTTGCACCTTACTCAGTTCTTCACAATTCTTGGTATTTATTCACATGGTGGTGACATTTAGATCCTTGCTACCACACCTTGATTCCGAGCCTAAGCCAAACACAGTGCTTGGGTAGGCAAAGTCTAAGGATTTGACATAAGTTTTGTAAATAATGTTCTCTTATTCCTGTACAATTTTCGCAGAGGCCAAGCTGTACTGAAATTATTTTTGCAGCATTCGAGTGCTGTAGCATCACCTCCGTGGTCACCAATCCTCTGGTGAGTGCTGCAGCCCTGGTGATCCCCTGGAGCTCAGAGTGAGCCCCTCTGCTGCTGCTGTGTGGGTCTTTGCAGTAAAACCTCTCCTGAGGAACAGGAACGCGTTCCAGCAGCCCTGCTGTGGAATGGGCAGTGGTTGGAAGAACTTTGCTAAGTGTGGGTGTGTGCTTTGTGGGTGCAGCCGTGGCAGCTGGCTGTCCCCAGTGGGTGCTGCTCACCAGGCCCCCCTGATTGCTACAGCTGCACGTTCTTCTCACGCACCTGCAGAGCCTGTGGGCTGCTCCTGAGCTGTGCAGGTCAGCCTGGGGTGCAGCAGGTGTTTTATCTGCCAGCACAGCCCCGGGGCTGGGCTTTGGTCCCCTCTGTTCCAGACTCTGCCCAGGTAACCCTTGGTGGTTTCCCAGAGCACTACTGCAGCTCCTGGGAGCTCTGAGGAAGATCTCGGAGTGCTCCCAGCCTCTAGTCCTGGGAGCTGTCTCTCCATGGCTGCTTAGCCCATCCTTTGGAAACTGGATAACTGAGCTCCCTTGGAAGCTTTTAAGCCATTTCTCCCCTTGTTCTTGCTGTTCCTTTCGGTGTCCATCTGATTCCCCCTCCTAGGAGTACTCTGGGAGCAGAGCTACCACATCACCCGGCTTGGTGTGAGCCAGCCAAAATCAAGTCACGGGCTGGCAAAGTTCTCTTCAAAACCAGCTGTAAGAGTTGCTGAAAGGCCCCAGTGTCACTGCAGAAATATTTAATTTTCTTGATCTGTGCTCAGGTTTTGGGTATGATGTGGGCTTGCTCACCTTTATCACTTCTGTAGCAAACCCACATCTGAATTATTCACATTACACTTACTCCCAACATGCCAGTAGCCAATTTTATAAAGGCCAGACTGTAATGTTGGTTTTAATCCTATCTATTTAATCCCAACTCGCTGCTGGATTGAGGTGTGTGTTGTTTTCTTCAGTGACAGAATAAAACTGCTCTCCATTTTTAAATGCTGCACTATGCTATTAATTGCTGCTGTTCCTGAAGAAGGAAATGTATCACGTTCAAAGTAACAAACAATCTTTATGCTGTTGAGTTTAAATAGGGAATGTGATCTCTCAAGTGCCAGTGCCCTACTACATGTATTAATTTAATCTCTCCTATTACCAGCCAGCTCTAGGTAATTAGTTAGTCTGCAGTGCAAGGAGTCTGTGGGAAGTAACTGAAAGAATCAAATTGGTTTTCTTGGAGATGAATTCTGGTGCATGGCTACAGACCACTGAGGGATCTGTGGGCTGGAAAGTTTGAAAATCCCTGGCTGAGGGTTTAGACACAGATGTTAAATAAATCATGAGAGGATGCAGCACATAATATTTGAATTATGAAGTGTGCATTGCATTGGGTGGTTGTGCCTCATGAATGGTAGTGGTTTAGATTTTCAGGAAAAATATTAATGTTTTCCTGAAACAAGCTTTGGCTGAGCAACATGGAGGCATGACAATGAAGCAGGGTCTAGGCAAAATATAATCATCAGAGTTAGCTGATTAATTTGATTTTCAAAATGATCAAGCATATTTTAAAAACAATTTCAGGATGATTTCGTGCTATCTTAAAAATGCCAAAATAACAATCAGCTGAAAAGCATAAATTTGGTTACGAAGCAGTTCACCATACAATATTTACATGTATTTGCAGCTTTTACTGTGCTGAGCAGCCCTGCTCGTTCAGTAAAACTGCTCGTGCAGGCTGAGTTATTTCTGTGCAGTTAGAGAGCGAGCTGGGAGCTGCTGCTGTTGGAGATCCTTTGTGCCAGTAAAGCAGTAAAGCTTTGCTGGGTTTTTTAATCTATTGTACTTGGTAGGCAAAGATTAAACAAGGGTAGTTTAGATCAGTAACAAGTGCAATGTCTCGTTTGAGTACCCTGAAAGTTTGTCAGTGCCTGGTGACAACAAGATTTAATTCTGCAAGAAGAGGTAAAACCTTCCTGGTGTTCCTGAAGGGACCTTCTAGGCAGCTCCTCTTTAGAGCTGCCCAGCCACACTCAGGGCTGTGGGTCGGTGTCTGCAGAGGGATGTGGCACCTCCTGCACCTGGCCGAGTCCCACTGAGCTTATTCAGAGAGAGATTTCACAGGAGGACTCTGCTCTCCCTGGGGAGCAGAGCCTGCTCTGAGGAGTGGGCTGAGCTTTGGGGTGTTTGTGTTCCTGCACAGGTTTGTGCTGGATCTCGGGGCCCGGGCTCTGTGCGTGAAACCGAGCTGGAGTTGAGATCCAGAAATGGGCTCTGGGTGAGACAGACACAGAACGTGCCCAGAGTTAGGTGGGACAGCGTGCCTATCTGAAATCTGCAGCTCTCGGACAGGAAGAGCTGCTTGCCTTCAGTCAGAGTTTCTCTGCCCCTGCCAGTGGCTACACATTGAAAGGAGGTTTATTAACACGTGGGAAGTCCTGGTGACTGTGAAGGGGACTTCTGAGATCACAGTGCTCTGCCAGGTACCAGCTAGGCAGGGTGACAACTGAATTGTAAAGCTACAAATCATGCTAAATGTTGTATTTTAATTTCTCTGCACTGCTGCTGAAAAAATCCCAAGGGAAGTCACGGGCTGAGGATACTGCACATCATTTAATTCCTAATGGCAATGTTCCCTGGATGTAGCAGACATACCTTACCACTCATTTAAGATTAAGTGACTTAGCTGGCTCACAACCCAATATAAAACAGTTAAACTGAGAAGATTCAATCGCTTGGGGAAGAGTTGCTGTTCTGTCACTCCCATGCTGTCAGTGTGTGACATTAATATTAATAGTAAAACTAAAGGTAAAGCGAGAATAATTACCAAGGGAAACTAAGAAGATGAAAAAATCTGAGTTCAAAGAACAGAATTGCACCAAATATTTTCTGGCATTGAACAAATCTGGAGAAATTTTTCAATGTTTACTCATTTTGAATTTATGAAATTGAGCAAGATTTTGGGACCTGAATTAGTTTTTAGTGCAGTGGTGTACAGAGAAGTCTTTATTTTGGATTTGGCAGCAGGATGATTTAGGTTGCTTTGGAGGGGTTGAGGAAGGAGAAGATGACAAAAATAACCTGGCATCCAACAGCATTTTAATCTAATATTTAACTTACCTGCACCTTGAGAAATTCTCAATAATTCGATATGTGAATCCATGTCTGCAGCAAGACTGCCTGATGCGTGTTTCTCTCAATCCAGGCATTGGCAGTTCTCACTCCAGGAGCAGGGCGTGCTCACAGGCAGTCAGAGCAGGCAGCAGCCGGGGTAGTTCCAGGGGCAGGTTTCACTGTGAGTGGAGGTGTTGTGTGGCAGCCCCAGGCGGGCAGAGCCCCGGTGGCACTGAGGTGGCTCAGGCCAGGCTGTGGCACGGGCTGAGCTGGCTCCTGCCCCGCTCAGCCTGCAGCATGGCCCTCCTGGCAGCAGCTGGGCTGGGCAGTCACCCTGCCCTGCCTGCCCCAGGGAAGGAGAGCCCCTCAGGGACTTTCCTCTGCCAAAAGATCCTCAAATGCAAAATACCAAACCTGCGCTTCTTCGAGAAATAATCACAGCTGCTCGTGGGTGTAAATAAAGTATTAAAAAACCAAAAAAAAACCACACAACAAAAAAAAAAAGAAAGAGAAAAGTGACACACATACACAGAAAAAAGCGTTCATTATTTCCATCAAAAGTCCTGCCAGAGATCTTATCACTATTGCTAAAGTAGCCTGTGCTGCCAGAACTTATCAGATGTTTCCCTTGAATTGGTGTCATAATGCCACTTTATGGTTCTTTATAAAGAACATGCTCCATGGAATGCTTATATCCCACTCCTAGACATGATATTTATATTCAAAATATGCATAATTGTCAAAGTTCAGGTCTCTTCCTGTGTTCGTTATTTGTTGTCAACTCCCTCCTGTTTACCCAGGAGCATTTACCTGAAAGGTTGTGGGCTTTGGGTGAGCACACAGAGCAGCTACAGCAGTTCTGTGCTCCTGTGTGCAGCACTCAGGTTCTGTGTAGGTGTGGTGAAACAACTTTTGGAACCATAAATGTGATCTTGATAGCACTTGCATGGAAACAGTGCTATTGTATGGTAATGAAACTGGTGTAATCAGCCTGGAGTGAAACTGGTGACTAATTCAAAAAGCAAACTTCCT